CGAGAACAGCCCCGCCTTTGCCCCGCACCACGGCCCCGCGGGCCCCAAGGCGCTCGGCCTGGGCCCCAAGAGGAAACCGCTGAGCAGCAAGGAGAATGTCCTGACGCACTCCTCCCTGCTGACCCCTGCCGAGAGAAAGTTCTGGAGAGCCGCGGCGGATGGCGAGCACTGGAGGAAAGACGGCCTAAGGTGATCGATCTCTCAAGTGGAAAGGGGTTCTGCAGCGCTTGGCCGCCCAGCTCGCTCAGGAGGCTGGAGGTCTGAGGATCGTGGTTCGAGGCCAACCCCCCGGGGCAGGAAAAGGCCGTGAATGAGATTCTGAACCTGCAGTGAACCTCCCAGAACACTGCAAGTAGATAGATAAGGCTGTGCCTCCAAGGGGTAGCGTGGCCAGCGGCGAGCCAAACAAGCTCGAGGACAGCGCCCAGGCCCTGAGGAGATAAAGATGTTGTTTTAACTGGCTCAATTCCACATGTCTTTCTATTGGTATTCATAAGCATTAGTGCAGCGGGTGATGGTAATGAGTCCCTATATTGTTATTAGTCAGTTTACCAATTTAGAAGTTTCTGATGATGGGCTGGGAAGGTGGCTCAGTGGTAGAGTGCTTGCCTTGCATGCATGAGGCCCTGGGTTTGATTCCTCAGCACCCCAGAAGCAGAAAAAGCCAGAAGTGGCACTGTGGCTCAAGTGGTAGAGCGCTAGCCTTGAGCTGAAGAGCTGAGGGACAGCGCCTAGGCCCAGAGCTCAGGCCCCATGACTGGAAAAAAAAAAGAAGTTTCTGATGATTGTTCTGTGATGGCATACATGACAAAATGACCAGTACATTTTTGTCTTTTAGATTATCTAACAATGAGTTCTCCAGTGTTTTCTTGAAAGAGGATTTAATTCCTCACCTTTCCTCCCCCCGTCCCCTGCCTGGGGACTGCAGGAAAGATACAGAAAGAGATTTGAAAGTTGAATCAAACATGATGCTCAACGGGTCTAGCCAAGAGGTCACTAAAGATCTACTTGATATGATTGGTGAGTAGAAAGCAGCTAGCTAGCCATCCTCTCCTTGGGAGCATAAGTTCTTCATACAGGCCTTGGAGTTACCATATGTATTAGGAAGGAAAAGAAAAAACAAAACCAAAAAACCTCTTATCTATATATTTGGTAGGTTTGTTTTGCTTCTAGCAGCTTTTGTGCATAGAGCAGTAAGTTAAGGAAACCCTATTCCTTCCCTTCTTGGAACTGGTAACCTAATGAGGTCATGCATCAAATCATAGCATTTCATAAATGTCTAGTTCTATTGAGCCTCTGAAAATAAGGAACAAAAGACCCTAAGACTTGGTTTCTTGTGCTTGGGATCTGACTGAAACAGATTATAGGCAAAACGGGGTAAAAGGTGACTATTCTTCCTTTTTTTTTAAAGATCATACGAGCATCCGAACTATTGAAGAACTTGCTGGGAAACTAGAATTTGAAAATGAATTGAACCGTGTATGTGGCCGCTGCCAAGATTCCCCTTTTAAGGAGGAAGCCTGGGCTCTGCTTGTGGATGAGAGCCCTCAAAAGGCTTCCGATGCAGACCCTGGAAATCTCAAACAGGCTTTCGATGACCAGAATATTATCGAGACCGTTCTAGACTTGGAAGAGGATTACAATTTAATGACCTCTTTCAAATACCACATTGAATAAGAAAAAAAAAATGTATTCCTGCCTTTTACCCTTGATGGCAAAAGGCTACTAAGGGCACCTGTGGAGAAGCGGCTCCAGTGGTCAGTAAGAGTCCGGTTTTTCAAAGCATTGCTATACCCTTTTTAATTCAGTTGTAACCCTTTTTGAGCTAAAAACCCAGTTTTTGTATTCTGTTACTTTGAAATGTTCTTATACTATTTATTTATTTTTCAGATTTAACATATTGAAAGTGTTCTTTTTTTAAAAAAAATTAATGTTTAATACAACTAGTATCTGAAGGAGTATGGGTTGTGCTTCTGCTATGTCTCTTGGTATTCTTTTACATGGAGCCCTTAAAAAAAAAATGAGGGATATTTGAGGGTGGGTTTTATGTACCTTGTGGGATCATCCTAGCCTAGCTCAGCCCAGATAGAAACTGAGTCACGCTGGCGGGGCACTGGTGGCTCATGCCTAGAATCCTAGCTACTCAGCAGGCTGAGAACTGAGGATCACAATTCACAGCCAGCTTGGGCAGGAAAGTCCATGAGACTCTTACCTCCAATCAACCACTCAGCAAACTAGAAGTAGTGCTGTGGCTCAAGGGGTAGAGCCAGCTCAAGCTGAAGAGCTCAGGGACAGTGCCCAGGCCTAGATTTCAAGCCCCACAACTAACAACAACAAAAAAAAGAATTTCTTAAAGGGATTTTCTTATTCTTCCTCACTGTAAAAACAGCTGTTTTTATAAGTAGGTAAACCCTGGATCTCTGGCATGTCAGTCCCAGATTAGTAGCAGGTGGGCCTTGGGCCCTCCCTTGCAAGCCTGGCTTCCAGAAGTAACCCAAGGAGACCTTCCTGCCATTGTCATTTGCATCCATAGATGTGTGCTCTTCTCTAGAAGGGGAGGCTGGGGGGTGGGGGACTAAATTCCAGCAATTTAGCTGGAGAGGGAAGAGGAGCCTAGACCACAGAATTTAACAAAGCTTTTTCAGGCTTTTTAGGAGCTGGGACTAAAGGACTCTCAGGGAGAGTGACAGTTGACCTTGGTCATGCCTGAGGCACTTTAGAAAAATGTTTGACGTCATTTGATTCTCTCCCCCACAATTCATCTTGGCAAGCCAAACAATCACTGAATTGTTTCCGTGGAAACTCCAAACTGCAATTTGGATTACCGGAATCAAAATAGAAACAAGGCAGATTCAAGAATAAATAGGAGCTCTGGAACCTGCGAGTTGCAAACTGCAAATTCAAATCAGCATAAAGACATTTCAGAAGCTGAACCCATCCACTCCTATGAGAGGTTTTCAGGTGTAGGGCGCCAGAATTCATGCCAACCCCACAGCTTTATAAATAAATGGGATGCTTTTTTGGCACTACTTTAGGCAGGAACTGGTGTAGAGAGAGGAAAAAATGCCCCAAGCAGGCTTTTGGAGGGAAAGGTAGGGAAAAGGACAGGAACAAGGGGAGATTGGTGGAAGACAGAGGAAAAGTTTAGCAGGAGCAGAGCAATAGTTCTTTGAAAGGGACAATTTTTCCGGGGGTGGTGGCTCACGCCTATAATCCTAGCTACTCAGGAGGCTGAGATCTGAGGATCACGGTTCAAAGCCACCCCGGGCAGGAAAGGCTGTGAGACTCTTATCTCCAATGAACCACTCAGAAAGCCAGAAGTGGTGCTGTGGCTCAAGTGGTAAAGCACTCACCTTTAGCTGAAGAGCTCAGAGACAATGCCCAGGCGCAGAGTTCAAGATCCATGACTGACCAAAATAAAAAGTGGGGGGGAGCAATTCTAGAAGCATGGTTGAGGGCTAGGGACATGTCTCAAATGGTAAAGTACTTGGATTAATTCCCAGTCCAAAACAATAACAACAAAAACTCCAAGTGGCATGGCTGAGAGTAAAACATGGCCCTCAATTCAGCCAGATGGTAATGCTCATCACACTTCTAAGAATGGTTGGCTATCTTGCCACAACGATCTGGTACTAGACAACTTTTCTTTTTTTCTTTTTCTGGCCAGTTCTGGGGCTTGAACTCACAGCCTTGGCACTGTTCCTGAGCTTTTGCTCAAGGCTAGTACTCTAACCACTTGAGCCACAGCACTACTTCTGGATTTTTCTGCATATGTGGTACTGAGGAATGGAACCCAGGACTTCATGCATGCTAGGCAAGCGCTCTACCACTAAGCCACATTCTAGACTAAGAACTCTTGCCAGGTGATTTCTGACCACTGTTACCACACCTTAGCCTCTGAGCTAGAGGGGGAGCATCATGGGACACTGGAACCTGCTTTCTCTTCTCTGGACCCAGCCCTGCCTCCTACAAAGGAAGGAACAAAAGAAGGACCTGTGGGTTCTCTTGGACTTTCCCTTTCAATCCCAGAGAAGATTCCAAAGGGGTGAAGAAAACATGAAGGAGACAAGTCCTACAACCTCTGTACCCAAGAATGCATTGAGAAGGCAGTAATGCCATCTTGCAAAGGTGGAGTTGTCAGTAGTTCATGTTGTTTTGTTTTGTTAGTGGTGGGGCTTGAACTCTGGGCCTGGCCACAGTCCCTCAGCTCTACCACTTGAGACATAGCACCACTTCCGGTTTTCTGGTGGCTTATTGGAACTAAGTGCCTCATAGACTTTCCTGCCCAGGCTGGCTTTGAACTGTAATCCTTAGCTCTCAGCCTCCTGAGTAGCTAGGATTATAGGCGTGAGCCCCTGGCACCCGCCAGTTGTTCTTGTTTAAGAAAGACTGAGGAAGAGAATTTGTAAAAGGGACCTAATTGGGGCCTATGTTTCTCCTCAAATAGCCAGGCCAGGGGCTTATCTAGTACTAGAACAGAATGGTACTATGATGAATGAGCCAGATACTAAACCAGATGCTTAATATGGTAACAAAAACCAATGAACGAGCCACTAAAATGAGGAGAGGCCTAGGAAAGCCAGTGTACCTGATTGTTGATGATAGTGAAAAGGTTCTGTCACCCTGAGACCATTTGAGGTTCTGACAATTCCCTTTTTTCCTAGTGTGGAAGAACATGAATATTTTAGGTTCCAGCTAAATATTTACAGAAGGAACTAAGTTTTACTGAGAAAAATCTATTTGACAATGGATCCCAGCCATATTGTGAAAAGACATTGTGACCACAGGCTGTCTGAAAAATGCATAATTAATGAAGAGTTTTGGACTAAGAGCTGACATAATTTAGCTACCCAACCTTTATAAGAATTTATGATTTTTTTTTTTGTCAGTCATGGGGCTTGAACTCTGGGCCTGGGTACTGTTCTTCAGCTCTTCAGCTCAAGGCTAGCACTTGACCACTTGAGCCACAGTTCCACTTCTGGCTTTTTTTATTTATGTGGTGCTGAGGAATCGAACCCAAGGCCTCATGCATGCTAGGCAAGCACTCTACCACTGAGCCACCTTCCCAGCCCCATCGTGATCTTTCTTGAAGCTAGAGAGGCTGCTGTTTTTTTGTTTGTCAGTTGTAGGGCTTGAACTCAGGTCCTGGGTGCTGTCCCTGAGTTCTGCTCCAGGCTAACGCTCTACCACTTTGAGCTACAGTGCAACTTCTAGTTTTTGAGTGGTTAATTGGAGATAAGAGTCTCAGGGAGACTTTTCTTCCCAGGCTGACTTTGAACCATGATCCTCATATCTCAGCATCCTGAGTAGGATTATACGTGTGAGCCACTGGTGCCTGGCTGAGGGTACTGTTTACTGGACGTTTTGGACAAAGAAAAGGTTGTTGGAAACTTCCCTGACAGAGAGAAGTAGATAGGTCCTATAGGAAACATCTCAAGGAAGCCTTTGGAATATAGGATGCAAAACACCAAAAAAAGCTGCTGGGTGCCAGTGGTTCACACCTGTAACCCTAGTACTTAGAAGGCTGAGATCTGAGGAGTGTGGTTCAAAGCCAGCTGGGGCAGGAAAACCCATGAGACCCTACCCCCAATGAACCACCAGAACACTGCAAGTGGTACTGTGGCTCAAAGTGGTAGAGTGCTAGCCTTGAGCAAAAGAGCTCAGGGACAGCACCAAGGCCCTGAGTTCAAGCTCCACAACCAACAAAAACCAAAACAGAAAAGTTGGACAGGGGCTGTCAGGAGCTGTTGGCCAAAGAATGTAATCCTCATCCACATTTGTCAGGTGTATACTCCAAACCCTCTTCTACATGCTGGAGACACAGCAAAGACAAGACAGAGTCAGCTCTTGCTTCTGGAGTTTATATCTTTGAACAAGGCAGAAACAAGCACCCAAATGAATACAGATTCAGATGGTGTGAGACAAGATGGGGAAAGGGAATTGGAGGTAAGTCGGGTGAGCAGGGAGGTCGAGGAGGATGAGTGACATTTAAATGGATACAGCAATGCCAGACAATGCAGTAGCAGCTTCATTTCCATCCTAGGCTGTAGCTAGAGTTGTAACAGAGGGAGGAGTCCTTGCTTGGGAGTTCCTCCAGCTCCCCATTGCAGACTTCCCACCATATCCGCCCCTACATAGCTACATACAGCATCTGAGAAGCCAAAAATGTTAGGCGCTCTGGGGCTGTGTCACGCTCATCAGGTCTGGCAGGAACATGGTAGTTAATTAAGAAAAAAAAAAGTCTTAGCAATAAAATAAGAAACAGAATATCCTTTTTTTGAGGATGATTGACAGGCAGTATAATTTTAATTAACCTAGCCTTGTTAGGAGGTTAAGCTTACATGCAGCTCCTCTACCAAAAAATGCTCAACTCATGGAATACTGAATCACTCTGAACTTTGACATCATGACACAAATGAAATACTTGGGAGAAATAAAGTGTGTCATATTACAGCAGAATCAAAGAACTAAGGGACCTTCTAGAAGAAAACCACAGTCATAAATACCCATGGGGTCCTCTCAACAAGGTCCAACTTTGCATTAAATTAAGCATTAAACTAGTAAATATAGACTAATAAAATCATTCCAGATATAAACCTCTCTGGTCTGAGAACCTCATGGTAATAGCTCAATAGACACCTGCAGTCAGTCTGGGAATGGCTAGAAGAAATCCTTTGTGAGGCTGGGCTCTCTCTTCCCATCCCTTCCTGGTACAAGCAACGAAAACCAGTAGGCCAGGCAATAGAGGCTGTAGAGGGCAGAGTGAACAGCCAGCCAATCCGGTCCAGTCAATGAGCAGAAGAAACCATGGTCATTGAGGCAGAACCCAGACCTGAATTTCTTCCTTTACCTCAGAAAAAGCTGTGATGGGTGCATGTAGCTCCCAGCCCACAGGCCAGAAGAATCTGGAAATGAGAGGGAAAGGGGGTTAGGCTGATGTCTGAGCATTCTTGCCAAAGATGTCAGTTGTCACAAGTTAAGTTCAATTCCTCCAAATCAGACTTTTGTGAGACACCCAGCTCCAAAATGAAAGAATAAGAAATCAAGAACTATTACTTGATACCAAGAGCCCTCTCACTGGCCTCAGTATCATTTACTGTATTGGCTTGGAAATGGGCAAATTCTAGAAAATGTCTATCCCATGAGGATTTTAAAATATTTCAACTCTTTCTCTCTCTCTCATCCTTTCTTTGAGACAGGGTCTCACAATATATCCCAAGCTGGTCTTTTGTTGTTAATTGTTGATTGGGGGGGCTTGAACTCTGGGCCTGGGCGCTGTCCCTCAGCTCTTCAGTTCAAGGCTAGTGCTCTACCACTTGAGCCACAGCGCCACTTCCAGCTTTTTCTGTGTATGTAGTACTGAGGAATTGAACCCAGGGCTTCATGCATGCTAGGCAAGCACTCTACCACTGAGCCACCTTCCCAGTCCAGTCTTTTTTTTTTTTTGAGTACTAGGGTTTGAATTCAGGGTTTCATATTTGCTAGGCAACCACTTGATTGCTTCATCCACAGCAATGGCATGCTGTTTATTTAACAACAATGGAATGTTGTTTATTTAAAATCATCTTATGGGAGGCTTCAAAAATAAAGAGATGGCCTGGACATGGTAGCTCATAACTATTATCCTAGCTACTTGGTAAGCAGAGATAAAGGGGACCATAATTAAAAGGTCAGCCTGGCTAACATGGTTGTGAGATCCTCCCATCTCAAACAAACAAACAAAAAACAATATAAAAAAACTGGGCACAAGCTGGGCACCGATGGCTCATGCCTGTAATCCTAGCTACTCAAGAGGCTGAGATCTAAGGATCACAATTCAAGCCAGCACAGGCAGGAACGTCCATAAGACTCTCATCTCCAATAAGCCAACAGAAAATCAGAAGTAGCACTGTAACTCAAAGTGATAGAGCCCTAGCCTTGAACAAATAAAGTTCAGGGTCAGTGTCTAGACCTTGAGTTCAAGCCCCACAACTGATGGAAAAAAAAAAGGAAAACCAAAGTTTTATATAAGCTGCTACTTCAATAGAAATAATGTAAGGCCTACAAATACAATCATTAAAATAGTTGAAAGATAAGACAATCAAAACTGGCCCAGTGCCAGTGGCTCATGCCTGTAATCCTAGCTACTCAGGAGGCTGAGATCTGAGGATTGAAGTTCAAAGCCAGCCCAGGCAGGAAAGTCTGTGAGACTCTCATCTCCAATGAACCACCAGAAAACTGGAAGAGGCTCTGGCTCAAGTGGTAGAGCGCTAGCCTTGAGCTGAAGAGCTGAGGGACAGCACCCAGGCCCTGAGTTCAAGCCCCACGATGGACCAAAAAATAAAAAAAAAAATAAATCCTAGCACTCTGCAGGCTGAGATAGAATTGCAAGTTCAAGGCCAATCTGGGCTACATAGCTAGACTTTTGTCTCAGTTTAAAAAAAAAGAAGACTGATAATATATCCCATAATAGCTACATTTAGACACATTTATCAAAAAATTGCAAACTCTTTGGCAGTATAACTGGATAAATACATGAAAAAAAAATCCCAAGGCCCAAAAAAGTATTGATCATTTGCAGGGAATATTCTAAAGACCAAAAATCTTGTGTTTACTATAGCAAGTTTCATGACAGCTCTTCTTCTGCTGCAATATTCCATACAGAAGCCAACTGTATTTTTACCAAGTACAGTCACCTTCCTGATGTCCCACTATTCCTCATTCTCATCGCCATTACTTCCACACATTTCATTCTAATACATAAAGATAAAATTGCCAGGCGCTGGTGGCTCATGCCTGTAATCCTCGCTATACTCAGGAGGCTGAGATCTGGAGGATTGTGGTTCAAAGCCAGCCCAGGCAGGAAAGTCCATGAGACTCTTATGTCCAATGAACCACCAGAAAATGGGAAGTGGAGCTATGGCTAAGTGGTAGAGCACTCGCCTTGAGCTGAAGAGCTCAGGGACAGTGCCCAGGCCCAGAGTTCAGCCCCCATGAACAACAACAACAACAAAAAAGACTATACTTACTGACCCCACACAAGCACCCTAAGCAAGCTTCAGAAACTTTGCTTTTTTTGGTGGGTCAGGGCACTGTCCCTCAGCTCTTCAGCCCAAGGCTAGTTAGTGCTCTACCACTTGATCCATAGCGCCACTTCTGTTTTTTTCTGTTTTTGAGATGCTGCTTCATGCATGCAAGGCAAGCACTCTACCACTGAGCCACCTTCCCAGCCCATTCTTTGCTACTTGGCCTGTCCAAATATTCTGCATTTTTCTTTCTAGCTGATATGAAAAAATCATAATAATTACCTGTCAGTCACTGTTGACTGTCACTGTCGTCACTGCTATCAAGACCAAGGTCATAGAGCAAAGTCGTCTTTTTCTTCTTGCATGGAGAAGGATCTGAATTTCCATTGCTAAGATTATTAAACCAGCTAATCTGGTGGTCTTCTAGGGAACTGCTAGAATGCAGCTTGTCTTGGGGAAAGCACCTAGTGGATCGAGTTGCCCTGGCTCTGTCACTGAGTTGGACTGCTCCTCTTAGATCATGGCATGGTTTCATGAGTCTTCTGGGACCCTGATGTAAAGGTTGAGCCTGGGGTTCCTGCTGCCCTGGGGGGAGCCCTTGTGGACCAGAAACTGGAGCCTGGGGACCCTGATGTTTAGAATCACTTGGGATTTGTGCTTTCTTCCTAACTGGGTACCAGCCTCTGCGAACTTTCCTACGTTGTTGCTTCTTGCCTTTCCTCTTCTTTTCTACCATCCTGCCTTTCTGTCCAGTTGCTAACTGTTCACCTGGGTCACATGACAACATGCTCTGGCCTTCATGCTCTGAGCTGCCCTTGTTAACACTGGTTATAAAACCCTGGCCTATGAACTGTGGGGCTCTGTCATCACAAGCCTTGGAGCTTGAAAGGTCAGAGCCCTGGTTCTGGGGACTCAGTTTATTGACAGTCTGATTACTACAGTTATTCTGTGCTGCCCTGTTCTCCACGTGCCCACTCCCTTCACAGGACTCAACTGCTGGGAGCATAGCATCTTCTTGGAGAGCATTAGTCTTTGCTCCCTCATCCCAGATACTTAATTCCCCAGGTTTCAAGGAACCCATACTGGTTTTTCCTGAAGCAGGGGAAGTCTCAGCTTGCCAAGTCATTGGTTCCTCAGAGCTATGTTTTTCCTGCCTGGTGCAAGGCAGGCTCTGGGACAGAGGTGAGGTCTGAGAAGTCCCATTTTTCACCTGCCTAGATAGTTGAAGCATGCTGATCAAATGTCTTAGGTCATCTAGTATACTTGGCACATTCAGCTGCACTAGCTGTTCAGAAAGCTGCTGGAAGTCCTTACTCTGCTGGATAACTACAGCTTCAAGGTGCTTCACAATGGACTTCATTTCTATAAAGTCTTCTTGTATCTAGGGAAAGACAGAAAGAGAAGAATGATAAAGCGATGCAAGTTGGAAGGCATAGTAATATGTGAAACCAAAAAGCAAAAACGAATAGACAAAGATTGTCCCTTCCAGTGTACCTTACAGGGCCTGGGGCCCACATTGTGCTAGAGAACCTTGGGGGGGGAGAAGAATCTATACTATGACTCATGATCAAGAGATCTGTGGTGGCCTCTTGGCTGAAAGTTACAATCTTACAGGTGGACTGTCAGGGTCTTAGTGACAAAGCCCAGAACTTACTTGCTTTCAAAAGTGGCACATATCTATCACCTCAACTCCCCAGGAAAATGAGGCAAGATGGGTCACTTTGAGTTGAGGAGTTCAAGACCAGCATGGGCAATATAGATCTCATCTCAAATGTATATGAAAAAAAAAACCCAAAACCCTAAAACCAAGAGGTTGGAATTTATACTTACATTTTCAAATCTCTTCTGTATCTCAAGCCTGGCCTGCTCTCTGTGACCTTTGTCTTGAACTGCCTCACACATCAGATTGTTCTGGACCTGTGTAGTCTCATGTACTAAATATGGAATAATGGCAATTTATTTGGCGAGGACTGTTGTTGCCTAGACCACAGTCTAGGGAAAAACTAGATAGCAAACTGGCCCACTTGACCCTTTTCTGTTAACACTTGTAATCCTAACTACTCAGATGGCTGAGATCCAAGGATTGTGGTTCAAAGCCAGCCCAGGAAGGAAAGTCCATGAGACTCTTATTTCCAATTAACCACCAGAAAACCTGAAGTGGCGAGACCCTTATTTCCAATTAACCACCAGAAAACCAGTAGTGGTGCTGTGGTACAAGTGGTAGAGCTAACCTTGAGCTGAAGAGCTGAGTGACAGCACCCAGGCCCAGAGTTCAAGCCCCAGGACCTACCAAAGGAAAAATAAATGGGACTGGTATGAATGAAGCCCTGGGTTTGATTCCTCAGTACCACATACACACAAAAAGTGGGAAGTGGCGCTGTGGCTCAAGTGGTAGAGTGCTAGCCCTGAGTAAAGAAGCTCAGGGACAGCACCCAGGCCCTGAGTTCAAGCCTTAGGTCTGGCAAAAATACAAACAAACAAATAAGATCTAAAGTGATAATCTTTTTCTCATTCCTGGCACTAGTCATTTGTATTTTCTTTTCTCTTGCTGATTAGTCTTTCTAAGAGATTATCAGTTTCTAGGTTTTTTGGGGAAAAAAAATCTATAGTCAGTCTGTCTTTCTCTCTCTCTACTGCTGTGTTGTACTACTACTGGAGCTTGAACTCAGGACCTCATACTCTTGCTTGATTTTCTTGCTGATGGCTGGCTGACACTTGAACCATGCCTCTAGTCTAGAATTTTGCTAGTAATTGGAAATGGAATCATGCCAACTTTTCTATCTAGGCTAGCTTCCTACCACAGTCCTCCAAGTCTCAGACTCCGGAACACAATTAGGATTACAGGCATGAGCCACCAATGCTGAGTTTTATTTTATTTTTTGTCAGTTGTGGGGGTTGAGCTCTCGGCCTGGGCACTGTCCCTCAATTCTTCAGCTCAAGGCTAGCACTCTACCACTTGAGCCACAGCGCCATTTCTGGCTTTTTCTGCTTATGTGGTGATGAGGAATCGAACCCAGGACCTCATGCATGCAAGGCAAGCGCTCTACTACTGAGCCACCTTCCCAGCCTCAGTTTAGATTGTGCTGTGTTTTGAATTCTCCAAAGGCCCATGCATAAATGGCTTGTGGACTACTAAAAGGTAGTGGAACTTTTAGGAGGAGGAGCCTAGTGGAGAGAAATGAGGTCACTGGGGCTGTGCCCTTACACACACAGAATGTCTGGACCCCAGACTCTTCTTGAGTCTGCTTCTTAGCCACTATAAAGTTATCAGGACTCTTTTGCCACGTTTCCACCACAATGAACTATTATGCCACAAGCCCAAAGCTACAAGGCCAAGTAGCTAAAACCTCTGAAACTGTGAGCCCAAATAGAACTTTCTTTCTTTCTTTCTTTCTCTCTCTCTCGCTTTCTCTTTCTTTTTTTCTCTCTCTCTTTCTTTCTTTCTCTCTTTTTTTTTGTCTGTCGTGGGGCTTGAACTCTGGGCCTGGGCACTGTCCCTGAGCTCTTCAGCTCAAGGCTAGTGCTCTACCACTTGAGCCATAGCATCACTTCCGGTTTTTCTGGTGGTTACGTGGAGATAAGAGTCTCATGGACTTTTCTGCTGGGGCTGGCTTTAAACCATGATCTTCAGATCTCAACCTCCTGAGTAGCTGGGATTACAGGTGTGAGCCACCAGTGCCTGGCAGAACTTTCTTTTAAGGTGATTATTCCAGGTAGTTTACCATAGCTGACAAACACAAAAAACTTTCATTGGACACTTATAACTGAGATATGCTATCACATTATACAAGGAGACATCTGTGATTTGCTTTTCTCTCAGCCTGGCTATTTATTTCTCTCTCTCTCTCTCTCTTTTTGCCAGTCCTGGAGCTTGAACTCAGGGCCTAGGCACTGTCCCTGAGCTTCTTTTGCTCAGGGCTAGCACTCTACCACTTGAGCCACACGGCCACCTCTAGCTTTTTCTGTTTATGTGGAACTGAGGAACTGAACCTAGGGCTTCATGCATGCTAGTCAAACACTCTACCACTAAGCCATGTTCCCAGTCCAGCCTGGCTATTTCTTGTGTGGGTAATAGTCTTGGCGTCAGAACCAGTTTTCAAACAAATGCACAGTTGCCCTGTGTGTGTGGGATCCCCAGGTTGGAAGCCAGCAGACAGACATATAATGCTTCTTTGTAGACAGATGGGCATTAATTTCTAAGTCACACAAAGGCATCAATTTTGGTAAATCATGAGCAATTCATTCCATGGCATTTGAATAAGTTGAATTCAATTTGTATGAAATAAAAAATAAACACACCGACAAATGCAAACAAGTACAGATGCATGTTCATCAGCTCTATTTTGTTTAGAGACTAGCAGTTCTAGAGAGGCATGTGCCTGAGGAGAATTGTGTGCTGGCTCTCTTCTATTTATAAGGTCCAGGGAGGTGGTTTCATCTACATGAAAATTAATTGGTGGAACAGGGTATTTTGCAATCCACAAACTGTAACTAACATTAAGAATAACTGTAATTTGCTGTGAAAAAAAAAAACTCTTACTGGTGTTGGGGGGTCTGGGAATGTGGCTTAGTGGTAGAGTGCTTGTCTAGCATGCATAAAGCCCTGGGTTCGATTCCTCAGTATCACATACACAGAAAAAGCCAGAAGTGGTGCTGTGGCTCAAGGGGTAGAGTGCTAGCCTTGAGCAAAAGAAGCTCAGAGACAGTGCCCAGGCCTTGAGTTCAAGCCCCAAGACTGGCAAAAAACAAAAACAAAAACTCTTACTGAAACCAAGGCAGAAAGAACTGGGGTGACTGGTCGTTTCTAACACCTAAAGGGGCAGTGTTCTGTAGAAAGCACAAAAGCAATTCATTTGAGAGGCTGCTGATACACTTTGGTCTGTGAAATATGGGATCAAAGCAATCTTACACAGAGGAAGGTCCAACTACCCAGGGCAAAACCCTCTCACAGAAACACTGTGTGGATAGAACCATATCCCTGGAAACCTGAGCAAGGTAAGAAACTTCACATTCACCAATCACCAGTGACTTTCACTAATAATCTCAAACACAGAGACAACTCACATGTATTGGTCATATTCTTTAAAGAATCCAAAAGAGTTTGGCTTCTTGAACTGAGATGTTCCTCAGACTTCTCCACAGATGTCTGCAACTAAGAAATCCAAAATGTAGAAATAATTGTCAGACTGTTGCCATTTTTAAGTGATTGGGAACATTGTCATTTAATTGTAAAAATGCTATGCAAAATATTGCTATGCTACATGAACCAAAGCCAATACATCTTAAGATGGAAGTTTTTTACTTCCTTGAAATGTAGCTGTACTTACCCTAAAAATGCTTTCTCCGATGTGGGAAATAAGGTTGCACAGTGTCTCACTAGAATAAGAGAATAACGTTGTGAAATATTGCAATAAGATATAACAGAATTGATGAAGTCCTCCATCTAATATAACATTAAAACACTGCTTGATCTAAGACTTGAGTCCTCCATCTAATATAACATTAAAACACTGCTTGATCTAAGACTTGATCTGAGAAATCTGTGTCCAGCTGGAATAAAACAAAATTAGGGGCTGGGAATGTGGATCAGGGGTAGAGTGCTTGCTTAGAATACATGAAGTCCTGGGTTCGATTCCTCAGTACCACATAAACAGAAAGGCCAGGCCGGGCGCTGGTGGCTCACGCCTGTAATCCTAGCTACTCAGGAGGCTGAGATCTGAGGATCGCGGTTCAAAGCCAGCCCGGGCAGGAGAGACCGTGAGACTCCTATCTCCAATAAACCACCAGAAAACCAGAAGTGGCGCTGTAGCTCAAGTGGTAGAGCGCTCGCCTTGAGCTGAAGAGCTGAGGGACAGTGCCCGGGCCTGGAGTTCAAGCCCCACGACCGACAAAAAAAAAACAACAGAAAGGCCAGAAGTGGCCCTGTGGCTCAAGTGGTAGAGCGCTTGCCTTGAGCACAGAGAGGCTCAAGGACAGTGCCCAGACCCTGAGTTCAAGCCCCAGGACTAGCAAAAAATAAAATAAAATAAATGAAAAAATTATCTGATAATCTCCAAAAAAATCATATTTTTCTTCCTTCCCTTTCTTCCTTCCTTGCTTTCTTCCTTGCTTCCTTCTTTCCTTTCCCTCTCTCCCTCTTTCTGTCTTTATTATTTATTTATTTATTTTGGTCCCAGGGCATGAACTCAGGGCCTGGGCTCTGGTGCTCAGAAATCCCAGCTGCTTTTTTTTGTCAGTCAGTCGTGTGGCCTAAAGGTGTCCCTCAGCTCTTCAGCTCAAGGCTAGCGCTCTACCACTTGAGCCACAGCGCCACTTCCGGCTTTTTTCTTTCTGCTTATGTGGTGCTGAGGAATCAAACCCAGGGCTTCATGCATGCAAGGCAAGCGCTCTACCACTGAGCCACCTTCCCAGCCCTACCTTTTTCTTTTTAAAATCTATATTATATGCATATTAAATGAGAAAAAACTTTAGCAACTCAAGTAGTTAGCACAGTAGGAAAGGCAACTTTCTTTTTTTTGGGGGGGGGTCCAGTCGTGGGGCCTGAACTCTGGGCCTGGGCGCTGTCCCTCAGCTCTTCAGCTCAAGGCAAGCACTCCACCACTTGAGCCATAGCACCACTTCTGGCTTTTTTTTCTGCTTATGTGGTACTGAGGAATCAAACCCAGGGCCTCATGCATGCAAGGCAAGTGCTCTACCACTGAGCCACCTTCCCAGCCTACAACTTTCATTTTTAAAAATTAAAAAGATACCAGGCGTCGGTGGCTCACTCCTGTAATTCTAGCTACTCAGGAGGCTAAGATGTGAGGATCATGGTTCAAAGCCATCCCAGGCAGGAAAGTCCATGAGACCCTTATGTCCAATAACCCACTAGAAAACCAAAAGTGGCACTGTGGCTCAAGTGGTAGAGCACTGGCCTTGAGCTGAAGAGCTGAGGGACAGCGCCCAGGCCCAGAGTTCAAGTCCCATGACCGAAAAAAAAAAATGGTTTAGATCTCATACAACTGTTCTCAGGAAATTTCTGGAGAATATGTTCCACCAAATTCAGGGAGCAAATCAAGAAAGATGATGATAAGAGAATTAAAGTAACAGAGGATCTAACCTGGGAAATAGGAGAAATATCCAGGATGAATATAAAGACATGATTCTCTTTATTTGGCTTATAGAGGTGAGTGGCTGGAACTGCTATGTAGAACTCAGAATTTGGGATCTTTGGTCTAAAATTCCAATTTCATTCTTTGTATTTTTTAATTTTTTGCCAGTCCTGGGGCTTGAACACAGAGCCTGGGCACTGTCCCTTGAGCTTGTGTTTGCTCAAGGCTAGCGCTCTATCACTTAAGCCACAGTGCCACTTCCAGCTTTTTCTGTTTATGTGGTAGTGAGGAATCGAACCCAGGGCTTCAAGCATGCTAGGCACAAACTCTACCACTAAGCCACCTTCCCAGCCCTCCAGTTTCATTCTTTCCTGGTTCTCTAGCATGCAGATGCAGGTATATCTTATGTGTGTGTATACATGTATATGTACTTATACATACATGCAGGCAGTACATATATGCCTAGCATATATATACATACATATAAGCATATATACATATCTATACATATGACTAATACATGTATTATGCTGAAATTTTTTAAATTATTTGATTTACATTTCATTTTGTTCTCCTAAGAGAACACAAGCTGTCATCTAACTTGAAAAGTCTGCATACCTGTCACCTTTGTCTGTTGCCCATTTCTTTTTCTCTTCAAACTGTCTCAAAAGGCCTTTTAATTTGACAGCTGGCAAAGGAAGAGAGAAGTTTGGAGAAACTTCATCCTTTGTATCATCTCCAAACAACTGAGGCTTTGTCTGGTACTTTGTCAAAATACTAGGCTCATTCTGAAGAAAATATATAAAGATATGTTAGCATCATTCCACACATAAAATATAATATTCACAACATTTATAGAATGTAGAATTACATTTAAGAGCAAACCATCAATGTCAGTCAGACACTAAGGAGGGTAAGACCTGAGGATCTTGCCTCAAAATCACCCCAGAAAGACAAATCTGAGAGACTCTAGTTCCAATTAACCACCAAAAACCTCAAAGTGACTGAAGAGGCTGAGCACCAGCCTTGGGTAAAAAAGCTAAGTAAGAGTGTGAGATCCTGAATTCAAGCCTCATCACTGGCATGCGTGCATACACACACACACACTCACACACACACACACACAAATGAATGATGTGGTTTTTTTTTTCTTATTTAGTGCTTTTAGTGTTCCTAGGATTTGAATTCCTGGTACTGTACTTGCTAGCCAGGCATTCTACCACTTGAGCCATGCCCCTAGCTCTGTTTGCTTCAGATATTTTTGTTTTCAGTCATGGGGCTTGAACTCTGGGCCTGGGCGCTGTCCCTCAGCTCTTCAGCTCAAGACTAGTACTCTACCACTTGAACCACAGCACCAATTCCAGTTTTCTGGTGGTTAATTGGATATAAGAATTTCACAGATGTATCTGCCCAGTCTGGCTTTGAACTGCATTCCTCAGATCTCAGCCTCCTGAATATCAAGAATTACAGGCGTGAGTCATTGGCACCAGGCCAAGTATTTTTTTAATAGGGTCTCTCATTAATAACCAGGCCAGCTTGGGCTGTTAGTGGTTCTCTTATACTCTTCAGCTTTTTTATTGGTTGAGGTGTAGCTAAGTTTATGCTTTGGCTATGTTCAAAAGATGATCCTCTTGATTCCTTCCTCTTAAGTAGCCAAAAATATAGCCATGAGCCATTGCTGCTGTTTTATTTTTGTAACTGTCATAAAATTATATTTACAACAAAGTAACTTTTTCATTAATACAAGCTCTATCTTACGCAATGCAAACATATTTAAAATATTAAAATGGCTTGAATTACATTTGCTGAGATAACGTATTCAATTTTTCATACTAATAAATTTAACACAAATCACTGTTTTTAGCTGCTAGAGAATAACTTGTTGATAAATTTGACATGGGCATACCAGTGCATGGTGAGTCATTGTCTTCATTCCTAGGCAAAATTTACTCTGAAGCATTCAAGAATACATTTACTGGGGCTGGGAGGGTGGCTCAGTGGTAGAGCACTTGCCTTGCATGCCTGAGGCCCTGGGTTCGATTCCCCAGCACCACATAAGCAAAAAGGAAAAAAGCCGGAAGTGGCACTGTGGCTCAAGTGGTAGAGCGCTAGCCTTGAGCTGAAGAGCTGAGGGACAGCGCCCAGGCCCAGAGTTCAGGCCCCATGACCGGACCCAAAAAAAAAAAAAAAGAAGTTAAAACTTAGGTAGGGAGAAACCAAATTCTTTCTTATGGACTTTCAAAACTAAAATTGCTTCCAGGCACTGGCAAAGATTATAGGCTCTTGCCTAGAATCCTAGCTAGTCAGGAGGCTGAGATCAGAGGATCTCGGTTTGAGGTCAGCCTGGACAGGAAAGTCTGTGAGAATTATCTCCAATGAAGCAACAAAAAACAAAATGCCGGGGCTGGGAAGGTGGGTCAGTGGTAGAGTGCTTGCCTCGCATGCATGAGGCCCTGGGTTCAATTCCTCAGCACCATATAAGCAGAAAAAGCCGGAAGTGGCGCTGTGGCTCAAGTGGTAGAGCACTAGCCTTGAGCTGAGAGCTGAGGGACAGCGCCCAGGCCCAGAGTTCAGGCCCATGACTGGCAAAAAAAAAAAAAAGATAGGGAAACTAAGCCAGCCTGGTCATAATGTGGGACTCAAATTTGAAAATATTCAAGGCAAAAAGGGGCTAGAGACATGGCTTTAATGGTAGAGGGGCTGCCTAGCAAACTTGTCTTCAGTGCTACCCAAAAATAAAAGAAAAAGATTACAGATGTAGAAGCAATTGTAAGAAATTAATATTGTTTTTATGCTTTGTCCAGTTTCCCTCAATAATAACATTTTGTAAACTACAGTATAATATCACAGAACATTGTAAAGGTTACAAACCACCAATCTGGTTCAGCTTTCCCAGTTTTATTTGCAAACATGTATCTTTGGGCTGGGAAGGTGGCTCAGTGGTAGAGTGCTTGCCTTGCATACATGAGGCCCTGGGTTCAATTCCTCAGCACCACATAAGCAGAAAAAAACAGAAGTGGAGTTATGGCTCAAGTGGTAGAGCACTAGCCTTGAGCTGAAGAGCTGAGGGACAGCGCCCAGGCCCAGAGTTCAGGCCTCACAACAGACAAAAATAAATAAATAAAACAAAGATGGGCGGGAGGGAATGAGAGAGAAAGAGGGAACAGCTGACACTGAGCAAAAGGAAAGAAATGTACAAATCACCAGATTTGGAAGACATAGTTTTATTGTTAAAGTTTGTAGAGTTTATGAGCTTTGTAGATCAAGATAATGACAATTTGCATTGTGAAGGTTAAAAAGTTTTTGTGACTTTAAGCTAAGTATCACTATGCTACAATACTGTGAAATTTGTTATACCTAATTTCAATAAAAATAAAAAATAAAAAAATAAAAATTTATAACTATTCATTTCAAAATATCCTGGGCAGATTACCACTTTGTTCTGACCTCCAAATCCCCTGAATATTTCTAATATACCTATAAATAAATTCGAGGAAATTCTGAACATCATAAATTTTTTTTTGGGGGGGTCTGGTCGTGGGGCCTGAACTCTGGGCCTGGGCGCTGTCCCTCAGCTCTTCAGCTCAAGGCTAGCACTCTACCACTTGAGCCACAGCGCCACTATCAGCTTTTTTCTTTTTGCTTATGTGGTGCTGAGGAATTGAACCCCAGGGCCTTAGGCAAAATGCAAGGCAAGCACTCTACCACTGAGCCACTTCCACCTTTCCAGCCCCTGAACATCATAATTTTTATTTTAACAACTCAGGAATAACTAAATGGAAATTCAAATAGAGAGGACTAATACTAACACAATTAGTCCTTGTTACAATAGTCTGAGCTGTAACAGAATCTTAGAAATCAAATTTCAGCTGAGTGCCTGTGGCTCTTGCCTGTAATTCTAGCTACTCAGGAGGCTGAGATCATTGTTCAAAGCCAGCCTGGTCAGGAAAGTCCAAGAGACTCTTATCTCCAATTAACCATCAGAAAACCATAAGTGGCACTGTGGCTCAAATCGTAGAGCTCTAGCTTTTAGCTGAAGAGCTCAGGGACAGAGCCCACTCCCAGAGTTCAAGCCCCACAACAACAATAACAACAACAAAAAATAGAGAATATAAGCAGAAAACATACCCTGAGCCTGAGGGAATACTCATCATCTCTTTTATATTCCACACATTAAAATTCATATTATGGTTTTCTCTATTAAAAAGAACAAAGATATATTAAGAAGGTTAATATAGCCAGGTTCTGATGACTCATGCTTGTAATCCTAGCTATGGAGGAAGCTGAGATCTAAGAATTGTGGTTCAAAGCTTGTTTTGGGACTTGAACTCAGGACCTAGGCACTATTAGCTTTTTCACTCCAGGTTAGTGCTCTAACACTTGAGCCACAATTCTACTTTTGGCCTTGTGGTGTGTGTGTGTGTGATTTACTGGAGATAAGAGTCACACAGACTTTCCTGCTCCAGGCTGGTTTCAAACTGCTGTCCTCAGATCTCAACCTCTTGAGTACCTAGAATCACAGGTATAAATTACAGTGAATACCTGGTTAGAATTTGAACTCAGGACTCTTTTAACTTTTCCTAGCAAATGCTCTACCACTTGAATGACCCCTCCCTGCCTTCCGCCCCAACCTTTATCATTCACATTGAAGAACAAAGCTGATTCTGCAGCCCTGCAATCCCCTGGGAATCTGAAGAGGGGGGGAGGAAAAAAAACAAAAAACAAAAAAAACTTCTCTCCAGCCTAGCTTCTGTTAATCCTAGCTACTCAGGGAGCTGAGGCCCAGAGGATCACGGTTCGAAGTCAGCTTGGGCAGGAAAGTCTGTGAGACTATCTCGAACGAGCCACCAAAAAGCCCGAAGTGGAGCTGTGGGTTCAAGTGGTTGAGCACCAGCCTTGAGCTTTGGAAAAAGTTCGAAGCCCCAGGGCTGGCACAAAAAAAAAAAAAAAAAAAACACCAAACATGCCTATCATCCTAGCTACTTGGGAGGCTGAGATCTGAGGATCGTGGTTCAAAGCCAGCCAGGGCAGGAAAGTCCGTGAGAACTCATTATCTCCAACGCACCACCAGAAACCGGAAGTGACGTTGTGGCTCAAGCGGTAGAGCGCTCGCCTCGAGCTGAAGAGCTGAGGGACAGCGCCCAGGCCCAGAGTTCAAACCCCACGACCGACAAGAAACAAACCCCACTTTCCTCCAAAGGTAAGACCGCAAACCAAGGCCGGAGCGGACACCCCCAGCAGATCACCTCAGGGTGACCGGGGACCGCTCTCAGGAACAGAGGCCCGAGGCCTGGGAAAGGGCGGGCGGGGGCTCTGGGAATATTCCATGCCCATCTTCAGGTTCTTTTTCCTCAAGCTCCTCCCCTTCCTCCCCCACCCCCCGCAACTCCTGGGGTTCCACCTATGCTTCAACCAAACCCTTGGGGTTCCTCACGAGCTCCGGTAGCCGGAGCAGAGCGCGCGAGGGTGGAAGCCGCCTCACAGAGCCCCGGTCTGCGCCAATGCCAGGAGTCTCGGTTTCCTCAGAGGCTCTGTCTGAGCATGCGCGGAGGGGAGGGGTGTGAGGGGGTGGGACCGCCAAGCTGCATTCTGAATGGCCAATGAGGAGTGAACGTCATTCCCCAGGCCCCGCCTCCCGCGTCCACATGTGACTAACGGTCTTAACGGTCAACTCCTCCTGCACCTTCCCGCCATGCGGCTCCCTGGTCACAGCCCGTACTGTACCTCAGGGCATCAGTGCTCCGGCCCTAACTGCCCAGCCTTGACACCCCTCACTTGCCACCCGACCTATAGTCCACGGCCTATGCGGAAAGCAGGGAAGCCCTGAATGGCGAGGTGCCATTTCTGATGAACCTGGTGTTGAAGGACCAGAACGTGTGGCAGAGGATCTGGTGGAAGAAACTAGAGAAGAGCAGTTGGGGTCATGGAGGGGAGGGGGATGGGGATGGGGGGGAGGAACATAGGAGATTTTTCCATTTCATGGGGGGGGGGAACTAATATGAAGACTGAGCAAGTGATAGAAACGATGTCGAGAAATCTCAAATGATGCTGGATGAAAAAGGACCCAGAATTAATACTCAGGAACGAAAGGGGCTGAAGGGACTGTGGTAAAGACGGTGAGATTCGAATCTATTGCACACGAGTGGAATTGAGGGATTGAATCCCTACTCTGTATAACTAATAGGAGCTAAAAAAATTATAAATACATACTTTATGGTTCCAATATTTATAAAATTCTCGAGAATGACAGGGTATCTATAGCTACAAACAAGAATCATGGAAACCTGGGCAAGGTAGCAGCTGCCTGGGATCTTGTCTGGGGGGTGTGAGGGGGGGCAGGGGAGGGGCTAAGATTAGATGGATCATCATGTTGGGAAATTTAGCAAAAGCCTGTCTCAAAATGTAAAAAAGAAAGAGTTGTAAAGGGGTGAGACTATATAGCTAGGTGAACAAGTGTTTGTCTAGCAAATGCTAGAACCTTGGCCTGCATTCTCAGCATCACACACACACATACACACACACACACACACACACACACACATCTTCCGTTCAAGCCCTTGTAACCGTCATTTGTCACAACTGGCATTTCCCATCACCTTAAATTCTTAAAAGGATTTGGCAGAGCCTTTATTCTGAGGCAGTAATTTTATCCTAAGAGCCACAAAACCTCTTTGACCCTTTCTCTTGAATCCGTGGAATGCTTTCTAAATTTATATCTTTAGCCATAGGCTAGCGTGGTTTTCAAGCACTGGCTTTGCCTTGAACACATTCTTTAATATTTCATTGGCTGTGAATCCATCAGAGCGGTACGTGTTTATATAAGTGCTCTCCACAGTTGATAATGCCAAGACACAGATTTCTCCCTTTGAGAAGAAACAGAGCAGCCAAGGACAAAAGAGCAATGGGCCAGGTGCTACCTCAACAAACAGCAGCATTGTGGAGTCACAACTTCCTTTTGTCACTAAGCAACAAGAAGTTGACCTCCTTGAAATTCTCTGTCCTCAGATGTATCCTCAAAAAGGCAAGAAGAAAGCTTGCTTTCTCTGCTCCCTTCCTGGACAAATGCAAAGTGCTTTAGTAGGCTCCTGGGTAAGAGTGAAGCACTTTATACTGAATCCTGATTGCCCATGGCTGGGGTTGTGCATAAAATCTGAGTGAGTCATGAGGGTGAAATAAAGTTTCAGGCAGGTATGGGTGGCTCACACCTGTCATCAGTTTCTCAGTTTCTCTGAAGGCTGAGATTTGAGGATTGCAGTTCAAAGCCAGCCTGGGCAAGAAAGCATGTGAAACTCTTATCTCTAATTATCAGAAGTAGCAGTGTGTCTTAAGTGGTAGAGCACTAGCCTTGAGCAAAAAAGAGCTCAGACAGTGACCAGGCTCAGAGTTTGAGCCCTAGGACTGGCAAAAAAAAAAAAAGAAGAAAAAAGAAAAAAGGGCTGGGAAGGTGGCTTAGTGGTAGAGTGCTTGCCTAGCATACATAAAGCCCTGGGTTCAATTCCTCAGTACCACATACACAGAAAAGGCTGGAAGTGGCGCTGTGGCTGAAGTGGTAGAGCACTAGCCTTGAGCACAAAGCAGCTCAGGGACAGTGCCCAGGCCCTGAGTTCAAGCCCCAGGACTGCCCCCCCCCTCCTACTTGGATCTATCAGAGATACAAGGAGATCCCATTTCTGTCCTCTGCTGGTGCTTTTCTCCTAAGGTCTCTCCAGAAATTCTCTGTTGGTTAAATACTCCCTTGGGAAAGTGTGAGTTGGCCAGCTTCCCAGGGTGTCTGGTCTGACTTCAGCTCAGACTTCTCTGGAATGTTCAGGCCCCTGAAGTCTAGGACCCAGGACAGGGATGTGAGTTGGGCCTTACCTCTCATGCCCACCTTGTTCTAGCACAACAGTGGTTTCTATGGGCACTACAGAGGTCAAGTCAAGAATGAAAGTGCTGGAGAATATCGCCTTGCAGCCAAGCCCAAGCCTCCAGCAGTATTTCTGAAGAGAAGTCAGGTACAAGGCAGCCCTAACGGTGGTGGGAAGGAATGGGCCAGTTCCAGTCTTTCCCGGGTCCTAAGAGTACTTTTCTTCTTGGTCTGTTGTGGGTCTTGAACTCAAGGCCTAGGTGCTATTCTGCTTCTCTGGACTCAAGGCTAGTGCTCTACCACTTGAGCCACAGCACCACTTCCAGTTTTCTGAGTGGTTTATTGGAGATAAGAGTCTCACGGCCTTTCCTGCCTGGGCTGGCTGGCTTTGAACCGTGATCTTCAGATCTCAGCATCCTGAGTAGCTAGGAATACAGGTGTGAGCCACCAGCGCCCAGCTCCCACCCCTTTTTTTTTTTTTGGCCAGTCTTAGTGCTCGAACCCTGGACACTGTCCCTGAGCTCTTTTTTGCTCAAGGCTAGCACTCTACCATGTTGAGCTACACCTCCACTTCTGGTTTTCTGGTGGTTCATTGTAGATAAGAGTCTCAGGAGCCAGGCACCAGTGGCTCACGCCTGTAATCCTAGCTACTCAGGAGGCTGAGATCTGAGAATCGCGGTTCAAAGCCAGCCCAGGCAGGAAAGTCCATGAGACTCTTATCTCCAATAAGCCACTAGAAAACTGGAAGTGGCGCTGTGGCTCAAGCAGTAGAGCGCTCGCCTTGAGCTGAAGAGCGCAGGAACAGCACCCAAACCCAGAGTTCAAGCCCCACAACCGACCAAAAAAAAAAAAAAGTCTCTCAGGGACTTTTCCTGCCCAGGCTGAGTTTGATCACCGATGATTCTCAGATCTCATCCTCCTGAGTAACTAGGACGACAGGTGTGAGCCATCAGCACCTGGCTGTTCTAGCCCTTTTGGAGACACATTATCAAGAGAGACTGAACATCTGGGCTTCCTCTTGTCAGGAAGGGAAGTTATGCAGAAGATGGCTGGGTACCATAGCCCACGTAGGTAGTTCAGGAAGATGGGAAAGCGTATTCAGGAGAATTCGCTGATAACAAGTGGCTATGGAAGCCTTGGGAAAAGATTTGTCTCACAGTATAACAACCAAAAGATCAGTACTGCTGGGTCAAAGGAGATAAGGGGAAGCATGGCTTCTAGAATCTAGAAAGACCTAAGTGCTGGTGGTGTACGCCTGAAATCCTAACTTAGTCAGGAGGCTGAGATTGAGGATCTTAGTTCAAAGCCAGTCCAGGGGCTGAGAATGTGACTTAGGGT